TTTTGCCATTGGATTATTTGATCTCATGCCTAAAATGTGTTCTTATTTCCTTCACTGAGAACCATTCTCACTGGAATCCATATATATGTATATATATATATATATGTATCCTCAGTCAACGGGATTGCGGACTGGACGTTTTACTTCAAGGCCTCTTTAACTAGTGTTGCTTATATACAACACCCGTGTATTACACGGGTGCTTGTTAACAAATTATTCTTAAATTTTGAAATTAATGAGAAAACTTATTCGAAATTTTATTTATTTTTTTACAAAAAATATATATTATTTTATATTTTAGAATGACACTTGTTACTTGTGCGACTTACATGTGTTATATTATAGTAATTTTTATAACTTATATCATATAACTACTTGAAATATAAATATTATTGATAAATAATTTTTTTTTTCTAATCAATATTAGAAAGGCTTCAGACTAAGTAGGACAAAGACCGAGTACATGACGTGCGCTTTCAGCATGGCTACACATGATGATGGTGACGTTAGCCTTTACGGGCAAGTGGTGGCCAAGAAGAAGACTTTCCAGTATTAGGATCGATGTTACAAAAGGATGGCGGCATTGATGTTGATGTTAAGCATAGAATTGCAGCCGGTTGGTTGAAATGGCGTCAAGCTTCGGGCGTTATCTGTAATAAGAGGGTGCCACAAAGGCTAAAAGGTAAGTTCTATAGGACGGCGATTCGCACGGCAATGCTATACGGTGCTAAATGTTGGCCTACAAAAGGACAACATGTCCAACAACTAAGTGTAGCAGAGATGCGTATGTTGCGTTGGTTCTGCGGGCACACAAGAATGGATAGAATCCGAAATGAGGATATTCGAGATAGGGTCGGGGTGGCTCCAATTGAGGAGAAATTGGTTCAACATCGGCTGAGGTGGTTCGGACATTTCCAACGGAGGCCTCCTGATGCACCGGTGCGTAGGGGAGTTGTACAGCGGGTCGATGATGTAAAGAGAGGTAGAGGTTGGCCTAAACTCACTTGGGAAGAGCCGGTTAAGAGATACCTTAAAGATTGGAAATCTTCAAGGATTTAGCGGTGGATAGGAGCGCTTGGAGGCTAACAATCAACGTACCAGAACCGTGACTTTTGCTCCTTTCTCTTTTGCTCCAATCTCTTCCTTTTGTTTTGAGCCCTTTTTGTGTTTCTCTTACCATTGGTTCTCTTGGGTTTCATCTCTAGCCTACGCCAACTTGCTTGGGACTAAAAGACTATGTTGTTGTTGAATCAATATTAAAAAAACAATTTTATTATTGTTATAAAGATAAATATAATTTATTTTTTTTATACATATAATATGGATGTTAAATCGAAGTTCATCAAGAGATGATTAATTTGATATATTATATATGTAAAACTGATAAAAAATACAAAAGATATAACGTTTTAAAATACCTTTACAATTCAATAATTATAATAAGAAATGATATTAAAATGCAATTAATACATGTAACATGAACATAAATAATTAACATATTTATGGATAATCTGGACCTAATTATTTTTGAATGGGAAGTAAATTAAAATCTACCCAAGCCTAATAACAAAGCATATAATTTTGCCACATAGGATCCCGAAGCATGCAAGTTGTCATTAAGGCTCAGCACGTTTTGAATTAATATACAAGGGGGCCAAGGGGGATTTAACTCCCAATATATCCAAGGCCCATCCTCTGAATACCTATATTTCTTACTATATTCTACAGAAATCGGTCCACAAAGTCACATGACTCAAGGTTAATAAATTTTGCTGAATCTTTGGATATCACAGGCGGGGTCTAGCGGTGCAACAACCGTCGGTCGCAGGATTGGCAGACTGTGTTCTCCAATGATGCAGTTACAGCCTAAGCAAACAGTGAAACATATTTGGGTTGGGCCCGACGTCCAACACCAGTGATGGCTAACAAAGGGTCGGTTGGACCACTAGCGGCGGCAGCTCATATCTTGATGAGTATGGGCGCCGGCGATTTTTCGCTTCCAGTTATTCTCAATTTGGTATTTCTAATTTGTTGGATTTGGTTTAAACTTGTAGAATTCGGTTAATTATTCTTGTATTGAATGTGGATGCTTATAATTGAGACTGAGGTGTGGAAATTTTAAACATGAAATGGGCTTGTTTTTTCGGTAAATACCGAAAAAAATGAGATACCGTACAGATTTTTTGGTTACTTGGTTACTGAATACATGTCGGCTCGGTTTCCATAGCCACAAATTGAGAACCGAATATTCTGTTCGGTTGGGTTCAGTTACAGAACAAAACCCAGCCTAACAGCCACAAAAACAATGTAAAACAAATTATAACACACAATTACTATTTTCATTACTAAAATTAATGACATGAAAAAATACCTTCCATTGTCCGCCACCATAAGTGCCCCTCCCGAAAACATCGACACCCATGTAAACATCATATTTTCTGTCACCAGCAACATCAGCGGATAGCTTAGGATAATCCTCCTGTATTATGTCAAAGAAAGGAAACACGGGAAAAGTAATGAAAAAAAATAAAATAAAATAACAACACCAATATATTTGGGAACATGAATATAAGTTATTACCAGCCAGAAATAATTGACAAATATGCCATCACATCTGTCAAAGAATGGCTTGTTTGAAGCGTTCAATTGATTCTGCCAACTTAAAGAACCATCAATCGTGATGCTGTCATACCTGAATCACCATATATACAAAAATCGTGTAAAGGAAAAGAAACCCAAAGTTAGAGCAATATTCGAACTAATCCATTCATAACATCCACCATATAACCAAGGAGCCAGGAAGCTTAGAGTGCAAAGTCTGGGTCAAGTAGCTGACAAATTCTTCCAGAATAAGAATTTTTTCAGGCTCCGCATCAACTTCCAAATTTATCTGTGTTAAAATACATAGAGAGAGAGAGAGAGAGACGCAATTTTAAAAATCATATATGCTAGCAAGGAAACATGAAAAGAAACCATGCAGACTTGTGGTGGAAGCTTTTATCCTCCCATTGTTCAAAAAATTATATACCACGAAATGAAAATAGAAAATATTTTGGCAGCAATATAATGTACAACTATAAGCAAACAATTAATTCAAGCTCATTATACCTTATTAATGTGAAGATTTTACAAACTAAAAAAATGCATTACTTACCAGCCAACCATCAAATCCTAAAGCAACAGCAAACTCTATCAGACGATCGGCGTACGTATGAGCTGAGTTTTTTGTTGATAACAGTATGTTAATGGATTTTTCCCTCGTATCATCCCCCTCCTCCATGATGAAAGTCCCTAATACCTTTATGTAAAAGATTCACAATCAGTTCTTGTGGACAACCAAAAACCAAGTGTAGTAATGCAGTTTTATCATAACTTGGATATACGAGAACAAAATTAGTCAATAGGTAAGTAAAAAGTAGAAATAGTTCAAAAGAGGAGAAGAAAGCAAAATCCTTCACCACAAACTCTTGTTGTTGAGCAACTAACACATAGTATGACTCATTTTAGTATGTCAACTCACCCTTATATGGACCCTTCTAAATAAACATACCAATCACTTATAAACTGTCATGACCCTAGTGTTCTAGTTTGCTATGTATTTGGTTGTATTTCATTTACTTAAGTAATATAGCTTAAGGGGCATTATGGGTTTGTTAGCTTAGCGACCGTTACATACACAACGGTCACCACCTTCTTCTCAGGCACTGTAACAGAAACACAAAACTTGATCTATGGAAAATATCTTGAGCTCTTTTTCAGCTCCTTGTATGGCTTTTCCTCTCTGACTATCAACAAGGTATCAGAGCAGGATAATTGATCCATGATGGAGCGGAAGGACGTTGTGACGGGAAATCGCAACACAAGCGAGGGAAGCTCCGGCGAAAATCGGCACCAGATGGTACGGCCAAAAGATACCTTCATTTTACACAGCTCCGATCATCCAGGAATGACGTTAGTGACAACTCCTCACTGGATCGAACTACCAATTGTGGCGCAGAGCTATGACGATTGCCCTAGGAGCGAAGACGAAACTCGGTTTCATAAATGGTGGAATTGCGAAACGAGAAGTAAACACACCTGAGTACGAGCAATGGAGAAAGGTAGATTACACAATCTATAGTTGGATTCTTAATTCTCTAAGTAAGGATCTAGTCGATGCTTTTTTGTATGTCGGTTCTGCTCAAGCATTGTGGGAAGAAATCGAGCAGTGATTTGGGGAAAGTAACGGTCCTTTACTGTGTCAATTGCAAAAGGAAATTGCAACTATAAGGCAAGAGAATGATACAATAGCTGGTTATTTCACAAAGCTGAAGAGACTTTGGGATGAGCACTCCAGCTTAGTGCCATTACCTGCCTGCACTTGTGGTTTAGTGCTTCAAATGCTTGTGATGGAGAGAAACAGGAAACTCTTACAGTTTTTTATGGGATTAATTGAAAGTTATTAAGGCATTTTGAGTCAGATTTTACGGATCCTTTGCCTACAGTAAACAAGGCCTACTCAATGATACAAAGGGTTGAGAAAGCAAAGAACAGTGTAGCAGTTGTTTCCTGAAAACCGAGAACAGAGCGCAATGTTCACTAATGTGAATTACACTGGTAGAGGAATGAGTATGATTGGAAATGGTAACACCACAGGACAAGGAGGGAAAGACAGAGGTGTAATGAGAATGACAAAAGAAGAAAAAGCAAGGCCCAAGTGTGACTATTGTCAAGGAAATTGGTCATCTAGCTCAGAATTGCTTCAAGCTACATGGTTACCCTGAGTGGTTCAAGACTCTAAAAGAAGAAAGGGCAAAAGGCATAGGGAAAATGTTGGTGAACACTGTGAAGGCAAGTCAGAAGGATTTAACAAAGACCATAACAAAGCAGAAGGACAGAATGTTGAGATGCCACTTCAGGACATATCCAACTTGATTAAACATCAGATAGCCAAGTACCTGTCCACATAGAAAGGCATCACAGTTCTGCGGATCCTCAAGCACATGCACACTTTGTGGAGTTTGCAGGTACTCCTCTGGAAGGTAAAACCTCTTATGCTCTAACTAGTGTTGAACAGATAGATGAAGGTTCTTGGATCTTGGATACAGGAGCTAGTAGGCATATAAGCAATGATCCTAACATTTTCAGCAAAATACATGTAATATCTCCTATAAAAATCCTATTGCCAGATGGAACAAATTCTGGAAATGTTACCATAAAAATCCTCACCTTACCTTGAATGATGTCCTTTACATACCATCCTTTAAATACAACCTGATCTCACTTGCACAGCTGGCTCAACAGTCAAACATAATATGCACATTCAACCCTCATGACTTTTCTTTGCAGGACGTGGAGACAAAGATCACCATTGCTACTGGCAAGACCCAGTGGGAAGACTATATTCTTCTCCCATCTCATTTCAGTAATACCTTATTTATGTAATTGTCAATGTCAAATAAGGAAGGATTTGCCATATCTGTACTTGAGCATGTGAAGTTCCTTAGTTCAATTTGCAATGTTGAGTCAACAAACCATGTCTTAATGTACTATTTGTCACAACCTAGACTTTCATTTTCTATCAGTGAATCTCATGCAGACTCCTTGTTTGATCTTGTACACATTGACATGTGGGGGCCTTATAATGTTCCTAATATCACAAACAGTTCGTACTTCCTTATATTTGTTGACGACTATAGTAGGGAACCTGAGTTTATCTACTTAAACATAAAACTCAAGTGCCAAATATCCTCCAAGATTGTATAAAGATGGTGTATACTCAGTTTCAAATTCACATCAAAAGGTTTAGGAGTTACAATGGCTCAGAATTTATGAGTCATGAATGTCAGAAAAGATTTTCTAGTAGAGGGATATTACATCAAACTACTTAATCCAGCTAGAGCAAACATGTTCAAATCCCATTTGCCTTCAAAATTTTGGCCCAGTTCTATCCTTCATTCAGCCTATCTTATAAACAGATTTCCTTCAAACACCTTATGAGATCATACATGGTTTTCCACCAGTTCAGTCAAGGTGTTTGGTTGCTTAGCATTTGCTACAAATCTGAATCCTCACATGTCCAAATTCTCTACAAGATCATCTATTTGTGTTTTCTTGGGATATGTCACAGGAAGAAAGGGATATATATTGTGTGATTTGGATAGTTGGCAGATACTTGTCTCAAGGGATGTTAAATTTGTTGAAACCAATTTTCCCTACTAGGTTAATGATGATTGGTTGATGATGATCAATCTTTAACTTCTCTACCCAATATTCCACTCACTGAACCAGACTATGCTATTACTAAACCTTAAGCCCCAGATATTCATTCTGAACCAATACCTCAAACCATTCCACTCACTAGAAAAAAGTTCTAGACCAAAGAAATAATCCAGTTGGCAAGCTGATTACATCTTACACGACTCCATAGGAAGTAAATGGGTTTACAAAGTCAAATTGAAGCCTGATGGGTCTATTCAAAGGCACATGGCTAGGTTAGTAGCTAAGGCAGCATCAAGTTTATGCTGTTGCAAAGATGGATACTATCAGATTGCTCATAGCAGTAGCTACACAAAAGCATTGGTCTTTGCATCACTTGGACATAAATAATGCTTTCTTACATGGTTCACTCAGTGAGGACATATACATGGCACCTCCTGAAGGATATACTAAAGCACTACCTGGTCAGGTTTGCCACTTAAAAAGAAGTTTGTATGGCTTGAAGTAAGCTTCAAAAGAATGGAATGCTGAATTTTGTGCTAAGCAACTATTGTTTGGATTTGAACAATCTGCTCATGATCACTATTTATTTGTCAAGAATTTTGGTGACAGGTTTATGGCATTAGTCATTTATGTAGATGACATTCTACTCAGTGGTATATATGAGGAAGATTTGTAGGGTCTAAAGGTTTATTTGGATAAACTTTTACTGTCAAGGATTTAGGAGAAGCCAAATATTTCTTGGGAATTGAACCAGCAAAGGGGTTTTGCGGGGATTTATATTAGTCAAAAGAAGTATGTGATGGACATTCTTGAGGACACAGTCTTACTAGTTGCAAGCCAGCCTCTACTCCCTTGCCTGGTGGATTGGATTGAAACTTTCAGCTGATACACGTTGTTTAATCTCAGAACGAGATAGATATAGGAGGCTTGTGGGCAGGCTGTTATATCTCAATCTCACAAGACCTAACCTTACCTATGTTGTTCAACAGCATAGTCAATTTGTGAGTGAGCCTCACTCTTCTCATTCGGATGCAGCTCAAGATATTTGAAAGGGCAGCCAACCTATCTCCTACTTTTACATCAAATCAACTTTAATTATTTTAGTTTAAATATTATTTTAATATACCCATTAACCACTAATCATACCACCTTTTTCAAAATTAACCAAACCAAACCAAAAAATCTAAACAAAACAAAAAATTCTTATATTCAAGCATCCTCCAAACATTTGGAGATCGAGTGTCACCTTGTGCGCAATCAGTTTAAAGCAGACTTTGTTGCTCCACTAAAGTTTCTTCTCATCTTCAATCAGTTTAAAGCAGACTTTGTTGCTCCACTAAAGTTTCTTCTCATCTTCAGTTTGCAGATATATTTACCAAGTATTTAGGTTTATCTAGCTTCTCTACATTGCGGTCCAAGCTTGGCCTTGTTGAGTTTCAAGCCCAAGCTTGATGGGAGCTGTTATAGTTTGCTATGTACTTAGTTGTATTTCATTTACTTAAGTAATATAGCTTAAGGGTACTTTGTATTTTTTGTTTATTGTTTATTGGGCTTGTAATCGTTATATACACAACGATCACCTTCTTCTTAGGCATTGTAACAAAAACAACTTTTGATCTATGGAAAATATCTTGAGCGCTTTTTCAGCTCCTTCTATGGCTTTTCCTTTCCGATTATCAACACCTAGCTTATCCCAATACAAAAGAAAAATAATAGGCAACAACAACAATCATATTTATTGTTAATTAGAAGTTAAGTAACTTTATTTAGATGTTTTCTCTTCCTATACTCTTCAATTATTGTGATCGGAACAGCGAGAGAGCGACTTTTCTTTATCTTACTGATTATTATGCAATAAACTAGAATCCAGTTTATATTTGAAAGTTGAATCCTTCATAATACTTAAGATTTTCATTTTCTCTCCATATATGACATGAAATATGAAATTATTTGAAAATGACTTTAAACTTATAATTATTTTAAAAATAAAATTATTTGAAAAAATATTAGTGAACAATGCCATCCATGATTATTTATATATATATATATATATATATATATATATATAACTATATATAT